ACAGTTTTCAATTGTATGTAAACCTTTAAAATAAAACTTTTTACTTCTTGTTTTTAGAACATAACATAACACGTTATGGACTGATAAGTTTTTAAATAAATACATAATAAAAAAGAGATAGGAATCGGCGATTTTCAATCTTTATCTTTAACAACCGTGAAACATTTAGAAGTGTTTTCATTTTAACGTACCCGCGATTGATAAACAGTAAAGCGATATAAATTTTGTAAACAGATTTCAATTTCTTGTAAGTCTACTGGAGATTGACTTTTCAGCAATTTAAATTGTATTCTTCTATAAATCCCCCTTCCTTCCCCAAAAAATGTACATAGACGTAAGACATGTAATGTATATAAATAAAAAAGTCTCATATTTCAATTTTTGGAGCAAAAAAATAAAAATTTTGAGAAAGCCGACCTCACCTATTAATCGTTACAAAAAATTCAAATCTGTTTTCAGAATATCGCAGTTTATCATTTTATTATGTCAATCAGTACGTTGGATGTGGGAATAGAAACACGTAGAAATTCCTATGTTGTGAGTGTATTAGTCGGTTAGACAAAACAGGAAATCACTGCTTCCAATATTCACTTATAAGAATATGATTTACTTTTAATTGCAATAACTAATATAGCGATATATAGTTCATAATAGTGCTAATTATTATCTTCTGCTCATAGTAACTTGTCTGCAATAGGTACTGTACTTTTGATAAGATGACAAATTCAAATTAATACTAAAATTTACCTATATTATAATATAATACTTTTTTTAATTTGTCTGTGGCGATGGTCTATTAAAGCTAATATCTTAGAATTTTTTTTTCTTTATTATGCAGTAAAAGCTTCAGTATTGTATTGATTGTATTTTATATACCTATGGGTATACAAAATATACAAGGTACCTATTTAATAAATGCTACGTTGCCATACTTTAGTCACGTAAATAAATTGTTTGCAAAAAAAACATTTATTTATCGTTTGATTTAATGTTCAAGTATACATAAATATAATATATTATATATTATTTATAATTTTATATATTATGTTAACTTATCAATTAAAAACAAATCTCTCTATATATTTAATATAAACAGTTACTATTATACTTATACGTATAGCCAGTGTTAGTGTATAACAGATATAGCTGACAAATATGGAATAACTTTCGTTCTAATCAATGTTACATTTTTTATGAAATGTATAATGTATATATAGGTTACCTATAGTTAACAATAGTATTACTATGTTACTTACTATAGGTATATATAAAATTAAAATATAGTTATAACATTTTGACACAGCGATAGTAAGTCAATTACATCTGTCAGTTTATTCTATAGAAGGTACCTATATAAATTATAATAACAAATAAACTTGATGACATTTTTGTTCATATTAACTCATTTTTAATATTTAATTATATGCCACAAAATGTATAAACTACATGAATAACATTTATAAATAATTAAACATAATATTTTATGCGTCATATTTCTTTGTTACAATAAACGATCACTACATTTTTGTGTGAAGCCAGCAACTCTTATAATTTATGTACCCTATTAGATATAAAAATAAACTATATAGTCATACAGAAATCAAACTATAAGTACTTTTGCTTAGCTTAAGAAAAACAATAATTAAGAGCTTATAACTTTTAGGTAGGTACTTCACAAAAATATACATGTTTTTCAACTATACCATAAAAACGAATAAGTTGTAGTTTAATCACGACGTATGAATATTTCTGAACTACTATAATATTAATATAAATAATATTTTCAAAATAATGGCATAGAATATTATAGAAAGCAATGAAACCGGCGTATTTTGATAGACATAGAGCACAGTATAGTACCTACTACAGTACTATAAAGAAAAAAAAAGCCTATACCTACATGGCGACATTACTCGGTGGTATTTACTATCTTACATAGGTAGGCAGGTAGGTACGTTTAGGTTTACGATTTGTGTAGGTAGCTAGACTAATGTTATCGTCAAGATACGTTATTCATAGATAATTAAACATCAAAGTTACATTTAAAATACTTTTAAACGTCAAACCACGTCGAGTAAATTTTCAGAAAATGTTTCACACGCTTATAATATATAGGTAGCGTAATAAGAAATAAATGTTCTTATCTCAATCAACACACTCAGCTTGCAATCGTAGAAATATTGGTATTACCAAATATGTTCTTCCGATAATATTTTAACACATTAAATAATTAGTAATATTGACGTTGGACGTATTATTATACCTTGTGCCTACTACATTCAATAATTCTGATTGGAGTTTCCGAAAATAACAATTTCACGTCCGAGTGCTTAGAATTTTGACACCTATGATACTGTTAGATAACTATTATATAGCAGGACTATTTAAACATAATATATTATGTATGAATAATTAATTTATTACAACTGTACCTGTATAACATATCGTCATATTTTCATTACTGACATAATTGCGAATTAGAAGCTTTCGATAGTTTATTTTTTTCTATAATTATCCCTGTCTATTTCCAATTCGTGTAAACTTATCCTTAGTCACACACTCACACCTTGAAAGCTCACTGTATTCAAAATAAAAATGTAATTTTTATAAATATTTATTCTAAATATGAATACCTAAATTTATAATATATTTGTACCAAGGTACTAACTACATTAAAATGAACACTTTAATATACATTACTGGTACAACTATAGACCACTCCAACACTTTCTACATTTTTTTTCAAGATATAATGGACTGGTATCGCTTATAGCAAGTAGTGTAGAGAAGATGGTCCAAATTTCTTAATAAATTATTATTAGACGTTATTGATTGTCCGGAATTGTTATCAATGATTAATTTAAAAATAAATAACCTTAATACCAGACACCAGAGATCCGAAACCATTTTACCCTCAATTTTCAAATAAAAATTATATTTTAAATTCCCCCGCTAATCTCCTCATGGTAGCTGGTAACACTTACCCCTTTGATTTTATACAACTTATTGTCCATTATCTTTATTATATAGGTACCTTATCGCACTTTATAGTTTTCTTATTATATTCACTTAAATACTATTAGTTTTATGTATGTTTTTTTTCTTGTTTACTAATTTGTTAATATCTTATATACTTATGTGTATATTTTCGAAATTGTAATAGGACTTACGTCCGTATATTTGAATAAATAAATAAATAAATGTTTATATCTTGTCCTTAATCATATTTTAGTGTATTTCATAATATTTTATTTTATTCATCAATCGAGTTAATTTTAATAGATACATTTTAAGAAAATTAATAAAATGTATATTAAATCAAATAAAATATGTGGGCAATTGGGAACATAAGAAAATTATTCCATGAGTAATTGTTAATTTACAGGTCCACAAATAAATAATGAAAAAATTGAACTTCAAACACACATAAAGAATTATTTAACCCTGTTGTATCAGTAACAACTAAGTAGGTATCTTTTATTTTTAACTAATAAAAAAAAATCTTTACTAATAGTCATCAGTACTATAGAAGATTAAATTAATTTTTGTCAAAAAAATTGTTTTTTAAAATGTCATTGGGTGTATAAATTATAATAATAGCATTGATTATAAATACTATTATTATAATTTATACACCCAATGACATTTTATAGTATTTATAATCAATGATAATAGGTATACCTTCTCTAAAAGTTTCAAGTACCCACAAAAAATATTTTTAAACTCAATAAAATAACTAAAAAACTGAATATATTTATTTGTTGGTCACAGAATGAACTATACTTTCTTGGGTCATTGTTTATAATTGTCAATCCTTAGCTATACAAAATAGTTTGTAAATTTTCAATTTTGACACCTTCATTGCACCAACCAGATTCACTTATCCACCGGAAAAGATGCTGAAATTGAAAATTGAAGCATTGCTTTGACTACTTTTTCTGTACACACACGAAAAATCATTGTAAAATCAATACACTCATCGGAGATTTAGATTTCCTGCACTCAGTTTTAAATGGTTTGTTGGATGTTTCAAAATTCTTTGCTGCTATACATTTAAGAGTCCCTTCACATTCTAACAGAAATTGTTCTTAATTTTTTACAGGTACCAACAAGACCTTACATAGGTATATCCATTAACCATGCATCCATGCTCAGAGCTGCAAATAATAATCTCCATGGACCACTTTCCCTATATTATAATATATTCTGTTCGTAGTATCATGTAGTGTTGCACCTTTTTCTCTGTAAAATAACTACTTATGTACAAAGCTGGGCAAGTTAGTCATTTTTTTTAACTAGTTATAAGTTAAGTTACTTTTATACAAAAACTAACTTAGTTAGAAGTTAGTTTGGTAAAAATAATAACTTAAAATAGAGCAAAAGTTAGAAGTTAGTTTTTTTATTGTTCAAAAATACAAATTTAAAACCCATTTGTTCAAAATATGTTAAGTACTATATAAATTAAATACACGGTATCAAACTCAAATTATTGGTGAAGATAGAAAAATTAAATTGACCAACTGATAATTTGATCAAATGCTTCAACTTAGTAAGTATGTCTTGGAAACAAATTGGAATATCAGTTATTAGAACACAGAATGTATAACAAAATAAGAAATAAACAAACAATATGATACTATATTCATATAAGTAATAAGTAAATCTATTGGCAATTTTAATTATAGACATTGTGGTTAATAAGTATTACAAGAAATGGGTTTAAACAAAAAAAATGTTTTTATCATAAAACTAAATTACTTATTAATAAATTATGATCTTGGCTTTAGATATTAATATTATTCGGATTTTTGGAATAAAAAAATAAACAAAAAAAAAAGTACCTATGTAGTTACTTTTTGTTTTCAATAACTTAGATTAGTTCAACTAGTTAAATTACAAAGTTAATATGAATTAAATGGTTAATGCCCAGCTTTGCTTATGTAGACTAATAATTTGTACTTAACTACGATTTATAATAATAAAATGTTTTTAAGAACATGAAACCAAATGATGTAAATATTATATTGGACAGAAAACAAACTTACAATAGAATGGAACTTAAGCTCACTAAGCATAGGTACCTACTACCAAACAGCAGTAATAATATTGTGTAAATTATATTTATATAAAAAAAAAAAGTTATTGAACCTTATATAAAGAAGATTTACCATTAACAATAAATTATTAAAAGTACAATTCATGGTCATTTTACAGAACATTTTAATAAACAAAATTTCACTTGTATTTTAATCATCATTTTCCCAATCTTTCAATAACTCTTCTATAAGCTTATTTTTTTTAATGTCTGATAAATTTTTCTTTAAATTCTTTTTAGGTTGTTTCTTGGTTTTTTTTTTAGTTTTGTTAACTCCAGTACCTAATGTGCAAGGCATGGTTTGTTCACTCACTATATTTTTAACGTTTGATAGTTTGTTCTTCGGTACAATTACCTTTGCGATTGGTAAAATTCCACTTGTATTGAGATCTAAATCTTCTTTGTGAACTTTACCATCATTTTCAAAATCTTTCAATATCCTTTCAACAAGTTTATTTTTTTCAACGTTTGATAGTTTGTTCTTAACATTTTTATTTTGTGTTTTTTTTGTTTTTTGTTTTTTAGAAGCAGTAACTCCAGCATCGAATGTGTGCTGGATGGCTTGTTCACTCATTTTTGCAATATTGGTATTAATCACCTATAAAAATAATAAAATAATAATTATAGAATAGTAGGATAATAGAATAATTTACACAAATCCATTTAAGGCATTTTTAAACATCTTTGTTAAAGTGAGGGCTTTCAACCCGATATAGCCAATACCACAGAAACATCCAAAATTGTCACTACCCAATAGGCACCCTAGATAACTGAAAATAATATTATTATATATTATTTTATATAATAAAAATTCTAATTTAATACTATAAACCAAAAACTTAAATTAAATTTAGTTTTTAAGCACTAGTTTAACAAATAATGGTAAAACTTAAGGTAGGTATTTTTAATGTTTTTCAATAAGTACATTTTTTACATATTATTACTTTTATTTTATGCTACTTTCATAAATTACATAAACTACTAACCAGGTAGGTAACTAAAATTATGCATTCAATTGTAAATAGAAATGAATAAAATACAATTAAAGATTCAACTAGTAACTACTAACTTGTAAACTATTATTAAATAAACAAAATAATGCACAAGCCTAAACAGCTAGAAATAAAAAAATTATAAAAATTCTACAACAACTTTACATGAACTATTTTTTAATGCCAACATCAAAGTTTTAGAATTAAAGAGCACACACTGCAACATCTACTATCCACCCAAATTTATATTTAAATAAATATTACAACAATTTTGAAAAAAATAATTTTGTTTCCAGGAGAAAACTAACAGAATATAAATAGGTATATCTGCTTAGTATTATACTTTGTTTGATCTCATTTTAAGAGACAGAGTCTGAACTCTGAATTTTCTTGAAAATATTGGTACTCTAATATAATATTAAAGAAAATAACAGAGTAAAATGAATCCATTTTACTCTGTTATTCATAGCCCACCTTACCCTACCCTTCAGATTCGGGATTTCTGAACAAGTACATATTTTATTTGAATTTGTTTGATATTCTTACAATATTTATTTAATGTTTGGTATCTGAAGATAATTGAAACATTTTCCCTGCAGCATTTATCCACCAAAGGTAAAAAATTTAACAATTATTTTTTTATGCTTATCATTTAGAGTAGGGCTGGCCACCTTTTTTATGGCAAGGGCCAAAAATAGATGAACATTTTTCAAGGGCCATAATTTGAATATACCTTTATTTTATATTAAACAAAAATGTATGATCATGTCAAATTTAGTTTATTTAATTTCATTTAACTATTAGGTTTATTAATTTTGCAAGGTATTTAGAAATGAACAACATTGTCCTAAAAATACTTATGAAAATTAAAATACATATCAATACATTTTAATATACCTACAAATAAATATCAGATTATTATGTACAGGTATTTATAACATTGTAAGCAATAGGTATAGGATTTTCTAATAAAATAATATATTTATACCTGTATACTGACATTTTTCATTGTTATTGTAAAAAGGTCAAATAACAATTCCAAATGTATAATGCAAAACATATTTTTTAAAATTTACTTTTATAGGTATTATATAATAAATATAGTTGCTCAAGTAAAAATTAACATAGTAGGTATATTATGTTTGTAGACTTATGAATATATTAATATAATAACATATTATTGCTGGGAGCTGCATGAACAATTAATTAATTTAATGGATTAATATAAATCATATTTAAGGGTCCATTAGCTCACTATTGATTCAATACATGTTTAATGATTGTTCATCCAACCTGGCATATGTGTATTAAATTATATACACTTTTTTCAATCAAAAATAAAATAATTGAATTTATAGTCTATATTATTATACTCTATAATCAAGATAGATATTGTGTTTTTCTTCATTCTATATATATATTAACTCTCCTACTTTTAATTTAATAAATTAAAAAAACATATCCAGGAAGTCACTCTACTATACAGTAGGTATCAAGGCATTGTCGAGTGTACCTCGTCAATGAGTAGACCACTGTATAGACGGTGATAGATATGTTAAATTTAAATTCAATGATAAATCATTCTACAAGGAAAACAATTTCAAGCAGAGACAATCTATAATATTTTTAAAGATATATTATATATTATCATATATAATACTGTTATTGGTATTTATTTTTCTATTAATGATAACTAACTAGGTATTATAATTCTATATAATATTACTAGCTGTTATTAACTTATAATGCAATACCTGAGTATAGGTACCTACTATACAGGTACAGTACTACAGTAAATTTGATAATTTAATCGAGAATAGTATACAGTAATGTACGGAGTAACAAAAAGTTTCAAGTTCCTAATAATATAATAATTGTTGAATTACAATTTACAACTAGTAAATAACACAAATTGTTATTTTTTAATTAAATATCTGATTTCAACAAAAAATGAACTTTAGGTGTCAATAAAAATAACTTAGTTTATACAAAGTAATTCACCAAGCATACAGAACTTTACTTAGGAATTTTTGGAGCCCAGGGCTAATTTTTTAGTGGGACTCCATTACTTGAAATACAAATTTAGTTTTTTTTATATTAAATTTATATTTTAAGATTATGAACAAATGCTACCATAAGTCTGTAATTAATTTTATTATTTTATGTCGATTGTTGTAAATAAAATTGTATATGACTGTATTAAGTGGCACTCTGAAAGTATGCTCATTTCTCACCCCATTATTTTTCTTCAATAATGCAGTTATTCAAAATCTATTTTTGGAATTATAAAATACGCCTAAAGGCCCTAGGTATTAAAAATTCTCAAGATTTTTTGAACTAATGAGTGTTCTGTGAAGATATTAACTCGGGACAGATACTATTTCCCAATAATCATATAATTTGATATACTACCTACCAATAAAAAGTTTGGTTTGGCTATGCCCGTGAATAATATATACTATACTATTATATATAATAATAGGTATATTGTAGTATCTATGGCTGCACCATCAGATAAGACAGCAAATGATAATTATGATTTACAATAAACAGTGGCGGCTGTCCCCAAAAAAGTATGTTGTTGAGAATATCTCTGGGGAGCCACTACCTACAAACTGTATTTAGATGAAAATATAAGAAACTGGATAGTTGGATGATTACTAATATTATTTATTAAACAATGATTCATTAAAATGCAAAATATTGTTTTTTTAGTTTTGATACAGCCACTTATACCATATAATGAGTCATTGTATGATAAATAAATCATTAACTACCCAAATTCCAATCACCCACGATCCACCCTACCACCGAACAAATGTTACATCTAAAGTAACACATGGATCATATGATAGTCACCAGTCACCACTGACAATATATACATTGTACTGGAGGTAAGAGTTAGAGTAACACTCTTAAAATAACATTACTGTAATATAATAATATATAGGTACAGATAGGTATAGTACCTACTTATTAATAGTAGTTTAGAAGTAGGTACTTACATTTTTCAAATTACACCAAAATGCTTTTATGAACGAAACTGTAAACTGCTCGATAATATACATATTATTCTAAAAATTACCATACTAGGAAGATAGGCATGAGATTACTTTACTTGGATTTTCCAAACCTATACCCACCCGCATATTATTATAACACTAGGTACTTAAGTATGTACAATACAATTAAATTTATAAATTAGTCGTAGAGATGTGTATAAACCACTGTGGCACTGTCTACTCCTGTATGGCGTAAAATATGAAACCTGTGAATAATATACGTGACTATCTGTGCATACTACTTTGATGTTAACAGGTACCTACTCGGTAAAATGGCGTCGCTTAATGAATCGGGCCGGAGTTGATTCAAGAATCGTTTCGTCACTGCAAAAGACACCGCAATGTTGTGCACTACTTTATACTGTATTATAATAATATTCTGTATTTATGTGTGAATTCGCGGATCCGGAAAACGAAAAAAAAACACACACGCACACACTGAAACAGTGCGATCAAGAACGATGACGGACGACGAAGACGGACACGGAGAAAACAGCCGCTACGGCAGTGTAAACCGACGAAAATATCCAGGATATCCTAGCTGGCCAAACGTTGGAATTACCAAATAGTATTTGAATGTACGAAGGTACCGTAAACAAATCTGGCGGGCTTCAGGCTTGCTTCGACCCAGTGGAATACCCCGAAAAATGTTTCTTCGACGAAATTCTAAACTAATAATAGACGCGGCATACGGCAGTCGGCAAATATGAATTAATAATAAATAATAATATACATTTACGCCGTGTGACGTTTGGGCAATACCGTCGACTGGCTGTTATGGATTGCGCATAATATTATTATTTTTATTGTAATAGACCTACCACCGATATAGTATAATAATAATATTATAGCGGCTATCCTGTTATCCCGAAAAATAATTCATAAATAATTACTGTCTTTTTCACTTCTCTTATGGGCAGTGAATTATGTAGTTATTAGTTATAATGTAATTATTAAATTTTACATGATATACACTCTATAGATACCTAATGGCTAATAAATATTTTATAACATATACCAAAATTAGTAATAACATTTTTATGTCTCATCTCTCATATTATGCACTAAAAATCACGGCATATTGCAGGTAATATGCTCTAAAAGCTATAAAACTTTGAAATATGCACAAAAAACTTATCAGCTCTATTAATAGGTACCTACCTTTTAAAAGTATTTTTTAGTATTTTTGATCAAACCACCGTGAAACATATTTTGTCCTTACTTACTACCTAGTAGCATTCACTACGAGGTAGGACAAGTAGGTAGATCGTGGACAAAACATAAAACATCGCACATGGCGCATCGAAGTCATCGTACCATAAGCATATAAGACATAGGTAAAACATTAATTTATATGTCTATGGTTATGGTATAACCACAGTAGGAAGTCGATATCCGTTGTTGCTTGTCGTCAATCATAATTCTTCAGCTATAAAGACAACACACAAAAAAAGGCCTCCATAGTCCATATCAGGAAGTAGGAGAACTCAACAATTCGTAAATTTATGAACTCATTGGTATTATATATCCTTAGACCTTAGTCCCTACTTGAGTATTAAGATGATGTAATATCAATGTAAAAATAAAATAAAATTTCACTATGACTATGAAAAAACCAAATAGTGAAATTATTAATCACGCTCCATATCATTAATAATTCAATCATTATCCATGATTAATTTTGTTTAGTATTTTTTTATTAATTTTAAATACATTTTGAATTACTATTATATTATATTTTCCATGTTTTACGTATCATCTATTTGCCTGTATAGTTTATCGCAAATTCAATGAATGTAAATTTAATGAAATTCGTGCATTTTTAACCATAGGTAATTTACATAATTCTTATAAACTTTATCATCGGTTGATCATAATATTTTTTTGCCCATCACTTATTAGTGATTGATGTTTATAATACGGAGGGTAAAAGACAAACGCATATTGAGTAGGTGCGTCGTATAGAATGTTTTAGCTTTCAAATAACAGTCGGAGAAGCATTTATTATTTAGGTATTAAATGTACTGGGGCAATATTTATATATCATATAATACATTATCACCCCACCACCCCTCACGAGAGATAGGCAATACACTTCTATCTATTATATACATATAACAATTCCTCATTTAATACATATGTCCAGAGGAGGGTTTGGGAGGTCAGCTGACCCACAGATTTTTTTAATAAGTAAAAAGTGGCGTCTCAAAATGACAAACTACATACCATTTTTTTTTATTTGAAAAAAATATGTGTATACAATAATCAATAATAAAATAACATTAAATATTAAATATTAATAATCTTTAAAATGCACACAGGCTCAAACATGTTTCTATAAAAATATTGTTATACATTTATCAGTTTATTGTAATGTATAGAATAGTATAATATGTATGTACAGCAGTGGCGTCATTTCAGTTTTTAATAGAGGGGGTAAAAGTTTTGACCAGCCTAAATGGGTAACTTAAAAACAACGTCTCGCTGCGCTCTCTAACACATGTTCATTATTTTGTTCCTTTCCCTTCATAAAACACGCACATACCAAATTTCATGTATACGTCTAAACATATATAACTATTCCAACTATTAATTACCAATTACCAATTTATTATTGAAACAATAATTTCTCGGTACACAACACAATATATTCTCAAAAGAGGCTTTTCTCTAACTTCCATTGACACATTTCGTTCCACTAGGTAGATATTTAATTTTTTCCGGCTCCTAAAATTTGACTCCCTAAATGCGCGGCTAATAACGGTGCATCTATATCAATTATACTGTAAAATATAATATAAGTACCTATTTTGATAAAATAACATTGATTCAAATTTAGTTTTATACAATTTTAAACTATCCAAATGTTTAAATATTAATTTTTATAATAATAACTTGAAACATTGTACATTAAACAAGCTGTTTTATAATCTTTACAGTGAGCTGGCTACGCCCGCTCCACGCATACGTCATGTGGTCTACGCCTACCCAAATCGATCAAATCAGTGACATATTTTATCGATATTATGTTCAATGTTCTCTCACAACAACCGCCTGCAGTAAAATTTTTTAATTATTTAATTCTTTTTTTTAGAATTGTTTTACAGAGTTGAGAGTACATATAGATATTAGTTTAGATTATATATAGACATATAGATAATGCAATATAGTCTTTAAGTTTATATAACCGGAGACTTACTAATTTGTTGGTACATAGAAATCTGTGAATATAACCAATCTATACATCATACATTTATACAGTATAGCTATTATAATAAAGTTTTATCCTGTTCATAATATAACTGTTTTTAGACAATTTTACTGTCTGTACATTAATTGTAGAAGACTATTTACTGCAATGGTCAATGATCATAAATAAAAATAAAATGTAATAACTTATTATTATGGCATTTAATACTTATGTTTGATTCCTCGCAGTTTCTGTTAAGTATCAGCTACTCACTCTATGCTTAAAGTACTATTAAAAAATAAGAAATAAAAACGAGACGTATAAGTACAACAGATGGCGCGTTTGGCACAGTACATGTACGAATGTACGAAATGTAAAAATGCGTGCAAAAAAAATTGTAGGTAACTAAAAATGAAGTACCTACGTAATACTTATGAGTTATGACCGTTTACCCTAAACATCTGATAATGGTCCTTTAACCAAGATTTAGTGACCCATGATTTTTATGCAAGACGGCATTAGTATAGGAAAGTACTACGAATATTGGTAATATTGGGGAGTGCTAGTTATTTTGTTAAACAACATATCCTCAAAGTATCATCTAAATTCAATAGTGAATACATGAGTCATGAAAGTAAAACTAGGCACTAGCTGTAAAAGGTACTACCTTTTAGCCATTAGGTACCGTAGAATAGTGAATTCAATGCTTTCTTTTACTGCCTCAAACATCGATTAAAAAAAGTCCGTTCAAGATTTAAAACTATTTGTATTAAATTGAATTTTGGTTCAAAAATTTTCTCATTGATTTATAAATGTTTAGTTATTACTTCAGGCTATAGAAATAGACAATAGTAGTATTGCAATTATATTATATGATAATTAATAACAAATTAACAAGCATGTTTTGTATTTAAAAATGTACAAAATATTTATTATTCATAGCTTAGGAGTTAAAATTTAATACAAGGTTTTTCATAAATTTTACTTACAGAGCAATTATAAAAAAAGTAAACTAAGCGTAATTGCACAATTATTATTTATAAACGTCTTACGCCTGAAGTTAATTTTGACGAGATTTGAAATGCAAACCTTAAAATTATTGTTGCTTATAATACGATTTTAGTTTTATTTTTTTAACTAAATTAAGTATCTAGTTATCTTAGACCCCTCAAAAGATTCCACTGTTACTTATATATTATCATGTTCCATATTAATGAAATTTTCAAAACATTTTAAATCAGTTTAATTTTAAATGTGTTTGACATTTTTTCTATACATTTTTAAAAAAAATTGTATGCTTTGCCAAAAAGCTTGGCAATTCAATACAAGACATCAAATAATTTGTTCAAGTCCAAGCTTAAAAATATCGAAACTATATAAGACATAATTTTGTCTATAAAATCATAAAAAAGACGTATTTCGCAAAATAACCATTGTTAAAATTAAAAAAAATTAATATTAATATCTAAGGCTTTTGAATATTGAATACAATTCTTGCAGGAACCTAAAAATCTCAAAAATAACAATTTTCATTATTTTATTGTAGTTAAAAAATAATATTTTCAGGGACTTGAAACTTTTGATTATTGTCCATATTGTTATTTACTTAAATACTACATAATAACGCACAGCGCACAAGAAATGTATTAAATTAATTTAATAAATTATTTAGAGATCATTTTTTGGTATTGATTTACCATGAACTTATTTTCACTGTTCTGCAAGGTATTTCAGAATCTTTTTAGGTATGTTGCAATGATTTATTATTGAATTAAAATAATTTAACACACCCATTACATTGACTCAATAACGAGGTACACTCGACACACAGATATTTTAGGTTCATCGGAGCGGTTACCTACCTTCCCCCTTTTTGATTAAAATATTGATGACTGATGAGTATTTTTGATAATTATGTGTTTACTGTTTATAGAGTTTAAATATGTTAATATGTTATCTAAAAAACATTATAAATGAGATACTTTATAATTATTTATTTGTGCAGATAATTGTGTTAGAAAAATAATACTAAACCTTTTTTAGAATGCGCTTTATAAACACTAACCAGTAACACATTTACATTTTACACACTATCTACTATCGACAGTAATTATATTATTGATTATTATAACAAAAAAGGAATAATAAAAATAAATAAATGAAAATATTAGCGTTTTACGATCTTCGACCATATAAGCTAATATTAGCTTATATGGTCGAAGTTTATGATTATATTTTTGTCTTTGTTATAACTGATATATATTAGTTCAATTTTTATAAATCGAGTAGAAGATTAGGAACAATAATAAAAATATATTTTATCTGCGAAATATTCTATACGACATGCTGCACTAGCTGCAGCTATTGTCATGAAGGTTTTTATCATGGGCTTGTTTGTTTTTTTGACTCTAATGTTCAATATTCTTTTAATTGTTATCCGTTGTGAAATTTATCATGTATAATTTAGTCCCCATAAAAGAAAATTTACAATGTACCTTTAGCAAAAAATAATAATAACTGAGATTTTGTATACAACATTTGAAATCGTAATAGGTAACTAGCTTTTTTAAAAATGTACATAGGTGCACAAGTCATATTGACATATACTAATTATCTAATAATTAGTGAGTAATAAATGTTTTTTAATCGATTAGTATACAACATTACAATAATTTAGAGGATCTGCTGTTTCGGATTCAATTATTTAAATTTATAGCACAAAAACAGGCTGATAATCTCCTAGGTACGTACGTATATATATTACTCAATGTACAATACTGATAAAATGCGTTACGTATCTATTAAAAAACGAAAAGTTAAAAATAAAAATGTTCAACGACGGTCGCACGATTTCAAATAAAACATATTAGGTACACACCCATATTTACGATGCTATCGCTTGACTCTAGCGATAATATTAATTACGAATCGATTATTTCTTTGTTTGCGTATATATGGCTATATTATTATACATACAAATGTTTTATCTTTAAATTTCAGTATCGCGTTATTGCAGCAACTTTATTATATAGGGGTCACAGAAATGCCTGGCCGATATTCATGCTATAACATATAATATATTATATACTATAATAATTAATAATTAATAATTAATAATTGATAATACACGATTTATATCGTTAAATACTTGGGAGTTGGGTATTTGTCAGTGAGTCGATTGAATTTTCATTTTTTTCAATATAATATTATATTTGTATGCATATTATAATGTATCATATCAATATATCATAATATCTACTTTTCGGATTTTATCGTCACTTCGAAAAAATATTTTTTTTTTTTAAACACTTGTGATTTACGAAGTAATGTATCTAATTTAGTGGTTATTACTTACTAAAGAGTTTAATATTTCATAATATAAAACGGACCTTAACATTTTGAATAGTTTATTTTTTTTGTGTTAAGTAGGTTAGTTATAAGTATGTACATAACTTTGTCTTAACATTGTTCCAAGACATGTTTTATGTATCTATAATACAACGGTTATCCAATGTAATACATATACTAATATGTCATGTTTTTTTTTTATTTAACATTATTAAGAACTTGTTATGCACATTTTAATTATTATGGTTGGATATCCGTATTATCATATTAATACAATAATATGGTTGCTCTTAATTGATTTTTATATAAGTAAATGTAGATCCGTGTAAAAAAATATTGTGTAGTCCCGTAAAAATTTTAAAAACATACGAATTTGTAAGCAATTGAGTATATAGTACAAGTCTCAATATAACCTATCACAAATGTAAATGTTTTAAACATTCAGGAAATAATTATTGGAATGTTCAGTAGATGATTTATAAAAAAAATAGGCTGTACCTGCAGGTACCTCATTGTAATGAATTTATATTAATTTAAATTATAATAATCATAGTAATACAATATTATATAGATATGGACTATGATATTATTATTGTTTTATTTTAAGGCTTAAAACAATATGCAAATATGTGATAGGCGATAGGTTACGTACTTACATATCTTTGGCATTAACGACGAGTTAATATTATAATATTATATTGGTACCTAGATAGTCATTACTATTATTCTTCTATACAAAAATTAAAAAAAAACATATGCACAAATTGTAATATTTATCAGGCGGAGAATCATACATAATATTATTATGTATTTTACTATTTGATTATTGTCTATATTTACTTTTGAGAGTGTAGTTAAATGTTTAAATGTTTTTAAATCCATAATGTTTCTACTTAATTCTTATTACTGCTTAATATCAATATTTTTAATATTAAGGTAGGTGCATGTACATTTTATTATTGGGTGGACGTTAAATAAAACCATTGATTAATAAATTAATAATTTATCTGAATATAATATAATAACTTTCAGAATGTGACAAATTACATATATATACGAATAAATATTTGTTTTTTTTTATACAAGAAAATGGATAAGTTAAAATGAAATAAGTGCCAATTGTGCAACTTATAGGCGAATTTATTACAGGTAGGTCGCAGCCCGCAGGTTAAGTTAATGATTTAGAAGAAGAAAAACTAAAAACTATCGTAACACGCCTCTGCGGGTACGGAATAGCTGATTACTATTGATTAAAATATAGTCTGTAACTTGGCAGAATTTTAAAAGCCATATAATTACACCTTTAAGTATTATGATATAAACGTATATTATCCTCGATCTTCGGTGAAAAAAATCGAGGTTTGCAGTACCTACAGACTCAGATACTCCGCGTTGTGGTCAATGTCTTTCCCACGATCGAGTTCAAGGGTTTAGGTAAACCTATCATAAATTATTAAATTATATTTATATTGCGCTGTGTCCCACAATTTTCGCTAAAGGTCACGAGCGTAGTAGGCCGATAGTCGGATGTTATGGCGGCGGCGAATATATTGACGGGCGGTGGGTGGCGGTTCAGTTGCGATATTATCACCGGTGTCCGTTATCAGCATGTTGGAAGGCGGCCGTCGGTTTCGGGGTTGGTCACACTGCGACTGTGCCCTTGCTATCGGATACAGCTGTAGGTCGTACGTCCCGACTGCTGAAATATTCCACCTTATCCGTTTTCTTGAGGCCGTGCCGGAGCCAATTTTTCTTCATTTCTGACCATCTTCGCCGAGAACGATCCGGCGGGCGTCACCAAAAGAAGCCCTTACCAGAACGTTTTCCGTTGATCTACTGCCGTCCTGATTGCCGAGATCCTACTACAGCCGCACCGATGACGAGCACTTTCTCATTTTTTAAGGCCGCCACTAGGTGGTCGAAAAACCACAAATTTGTAAGTAGCCTTTGGTTCTTACCTAATACCTATACTTATTTATCACCCAACTATTAACACCACCGCGGTGGCGGATTAGATTTTCCAAGTTTCTGTGGTTGTCACGACATGCCCAACACCCGTCTCACGTAAATCTGGCGCTTATCATTTTGTACGCTGTATTACTCAACTACAGCGTTTTAAGGTCAATAGTTTTATATAAACGATTGATAATTGAAATTTTCATAGTTCTACGTCCAAATTTCGATAGTTACATACTTGTTTCCTAATTTTAATCAATCATACATAGTATTATAAATGTACAATCAAAAAATATATTATTTAACACATAAATTAAATCTCTCGTATAGCACTGCAGGTTTTCGCTACATATTATAATATTTTTGATAAGGTTTATTGGTTATTGGTTTATAATGAAAATATTGTCATCAATATATCTTTATATATGTATTATTTGAGTTTAACTTATTTATTTGTTAAAACTTAAAATGGTAATATTGGATATAATACCAATGTACACTTTATATACCTTTGTCTGTATGACACATTTTAAGGTTTTATTATTTTCAATATATTTCCATAATATTCATAATCTAACTCCACTAAGAAACTTTTCAAAAGACAATTTTCTTTAGAATTTTTTCATTTTCAAGTCACTTTTATTCGGAAAAAATATTTTTAATACCTATATTTGGTTAATCGTCCAGTTGAAATGAACATGCATTCTCTATTATCCAAGTGTTCAATTTTATATTAAAATTATTTTTAAAACCTATTTTACTACATTATGTTAGTGAAAAATGTTTTCTAATATTTGTTATTGACACTATAAACTTAATTAAAAAAATCACAGAACATATGACTTTATTTTAAAAAGTCAAATGAAATGGTTGTTAGTTACTAGTTAGGTATTAACTATTAAAAATGAATCCAATAATTATTTTACGTTTAAAATTATTTTATTAATACCTCGGAGTAACTATTTGGTATTTACAAAATATTCGATGTAACTAATAACTATGAACAATAATGGTGCAAATTATCTTTATTCAATTAAATTCAAAACTATTTTTTTTTCCTTCTTATAATATTTATACTTCTCATCAATGCTTATTTTACTTTTACCTTTATGTTGTATAGAATGATAAGAGTAGATACATTTTTTCTATTTTTTTTTTTTTATTAGATGAATAAAATCTACTATTAAAAAACAAAGTAAATTCACAAATATAAAAATAAATTTTTTATACAAATTTTAATGTAAATTGTATGTAGGGCACTAATTAAATATTTCTTGTAAGTAGTTGTTAGTATGTTTTTATCGATCTACTAGAGATATATGTTTGATATTTAAAAGATTAACAATATTTGTGTATTTGTTTTAAAATAAAACATTTAAAATTGTAATCATTTATGTTCTTAAAACATTTTTTAAAAATTACTTTTAGTATACGCCATAATAAGTTATTGAACATAATATATTTATTTTTAGTTTTTGACCAGTTTTGGTGTGTTAGCTGGTGGTGGTAGTTCCCTAATTTATGCACTTGAGCAGTCAATTCATGCTTCTAATGATGCAGCTCATGTGGCTAAACAAAAATGGAATCATAACGGATGGTTTGATACTTTAGACCACGCTAGGTAAATGTCATGTTTTTCATAATGTTTTCAGTCAATGAGTTAATGAATCTATTTTGTAGTGTTCGTCGAGGATGGGAAGTGTACAAAAACGTTTGTGCAGCATGTCATAGCATTGAGTACTTGGCATATCGTGAGTTAGTCGGTGTTTGTCTGACCGAAGATGAAGCCAAAGCTGAAGCTGCAGAACAATTGGTAACATTAGTGTAAACTTTGACAAATATTGAGTAATTTGATAATAATGTCTTTTAAAATTTAGATTGAGGACGGACCTGATGAAACTGGTGCCATGTACAAAAGACCTGGCAAATTATCAGATATATTACCCAAACCTTATCCAAATGAAGAAGCTGGTCGTTATGCTAATGGTGGTGCATACCCACCAGATTTGACTTACATTACTCAAGCTAGAATAGATGGAGAGGTAATTTCTTAGAGCCTAAGTAAAGCAATGAATCTATTATTATTACAAATAATTTTTTTTTTTTTTTGTGAATTCTTTGGAGAATTAAAATTGTTTTATTCTATAATTTTAAATGCTTTTTCTAGTTTGCAAAAACTTTAAAGAAATACAAGAAACCAATTTGCTCCTGTGTTTTGATTAAAAAATAAATTGCTTCAGAAATATAATTAATATTTATATTTGTATTTTTGCGACACGGTGTAATTTTCACATCATCCATTACAATGACCTTTTCAATGTCTAAATATACTCAAAATCTAATATTTAGTATACTAATTTTTGAGGTTTTGTACGTTTAATTTTTGTTAGTTTTCATATAAGATATTTTAATAATACTTAAAATGTACTTAAGGATTAGATACCTTATTTCTCGTCAAATATTTGTTCAATGAATGTTTTAATAAAAACTTACAATTTCTTATTTAGATTAAAATGTATTAGATACATTTTATTTTTTTGGAACAATTAATTATTTTGATGCAACTATGCAATAATAGCAATGAATATTCAAATGATAATTTAATAAAAAAATGTCAAATTTTCTTTAAATCTTCCCAAAAGCATTTACCTATTTGAAAATTTAAATTTATAAATTAAATTTTCAGAATTATATCTTTGCTTTATTGACTGGTTACATGGACCCACCAGCAGGAATTTCATTAGCAGAAAATCAACATTATAATCCTTATTTCCCGGGTGGTGCTATAGGAATGGCTCAAGCATTATACGATGAGGTAATTACTTAAAAAAATTTTATTTTATGGATTAGTTAATTTTATATTTATTTATATAAGTTTTTAATAACTCACAGATACTTTTTGAGTTAAATAATAAAATGTATATATTTTTTTAGATTATTGAATATGGAGATGGAACTCCAGCTACACAAAGTCAGTGTGCGAAAGATGTTATCACATTCTTAAAATGGTGTGCAGAACCAGAACACGATACTAGAAAATTATTTGCCATGAAAGTATGTTAAAGCACCTGTATTAATTTATATTTAATTTATTATCAATAGTAATTAATTACAAATATTTTTTTTTTTTAGGCATTTACTATCTTGGGTGTGCTAAACTTGGTAGTTTGGTACCTGCATAGACATTATTGGTCAGTGTTGAAGACTCGAAAGATTTTACAAAGCCCTAAATCATTGTTCAAAAAGTAAATGGTCTTTAGCTAGTAGTAGCCAAAAATTAAAACGTATGATATTCATTTTTGTTTAAACACCCTGTTGATTTTATTGTTCAAGTTCTGTCTAAAAAATTTCAATTTTTATAAGTTCACTTCTACAATAAAATTTGTGAAATTGTTTGTCAAAAAACTAATTTTCTAGAGCGTAAAAATCCTATTCCAGTGACCATACTCTGTAGATGCATTAACTTTAATTACTACTAGTAATTAGTATTCCTATTTCTCCATAATGTAATGTGATGATGAGTTTGTACATGATTTATTATTATATAACCTAAAGGTATACAACAGTTTCAATTAAAGTTTGAGAAAATAAACCAATATTAATTACAATGTTGAAAGGTTCAAATAGAAAGTTTTTTTGAACACTATTCAAATATATTATATATTTATAATATGCTTGCTGTTGGTCAACTAAATTCTCTTTGCTTGCAATATTAACAACCACAATATGTGTCATAGGTATTATGTAAGTCTTGTACAGTATCATTAGGCCATTTCCATCCATGCTTTTGACGTTAAGATTAGGCAATTAATAAAATTATTATTAACCTTGTTTATATATAATTGTTATTAAATTGTTTTGTTTATTGAAATCATTTTTATCTGAATAATATTTATCCATTATTTGTGCTAATTTCAATCCTAAGTATGAATTATCAAATATGTTTTGAAAAGAGGTTATATAATACATTATAACTGATCTTTTTACAATATTAAGTCTTGTATTTTAAATGTCCAGTTTTAGAGAATAATATTGTTTAATGGTTTAAAATTGGATATTCTTATATTATAGTAAAATACTTTTATATGTAACAAAAAAGTTAAAAAAGTTGATTCATCTTTTTTATCTTGAATTTTTGTAAATACATTTTGTAAACAAAAAAGTATTGGGTATAGATTCAGGAATGTTTATAAGTAATAATATAGGTAAAATTTTACCATTTTTTCTTGCAAACAATTTTTATGTTTGGAAAATAGTTTTTGAGCCAAATAAATTAATCTTATGTATTAATAGTTATCGAAAATTCAATTTTCATAATATTAAAATGTATACCTTAGTAATGATGGTATTTTTTAAAGTCAGATTGCTTGTATACATATTTTTTTTCAAATTAATTTTAAGTTAACATTGAGAACGTACAATTTGCTTAACAGTTTATTATTTCACTATCATATTCAAACAAATCAAATTTTTTTTAAAATAAATTGTTAATTGCCATCGTACATACTTTAACAAGATAATTCATTGCTATGCTATACATCCAAACCTTGTTACATTTCTTCTTTATATTTTTAATGGGTTTATCTTAATTTTATATTTCGAATAAAATAAAAAATATTTTTTTTAAATTAAGTGGAGGAATTAGATTTAAAAACAATAATTGCATTATATTTATAAAATGAAAAACTAAACAATTTTTCTATATTAAAAACAATTTGCAATATTCATATAAAATCTTATGCTGTATCTTATAGTCGGGGGCACAAAAAATGAGGACTGTCCATTGGGCACCAAATGCCATTTATTTGATAGTGGTATCAAAATCATAAATTTATGATTTTTTTTTGAAATACCAAGTTATTTATATTATTGGCATTATTTTTTTACTGTAAGGCTACCTTTATTTTTCAGCAGATTAAATTATAATGTTTTTAAATGATTTAATATTTTATTAAATGCCATGTATTCAATATCAATATCATAGTGACCTAACCATCAAATTTAAAGGTAAGAACAATGTCTGTGTTCAAGTATTGTTTTTTTAAAAATAATATTTTAATATTTTACCAATTTGTGAACACTTTTGAATTGTGACATTTGCCCTTATAACACTTGATGTCAATGATAACTATAATCATAATATATTCTCACTCAAAATGTATTACTTATTAGTTAATGACTGTTAACTAAATACTACTTAATTTAACTTCCTGTTCCACTTAGAACTATGGTACAAGGTTTTCAGTTATTATGTTGTAATATATAGGTTCATAATATTATGTGATAGGTATAGCCGTGATAAAACATCATCTTAGGCATCATAATGTTTTATTTTATGTATAATGTTTAGTATGGAGATTATATCGCTAAATTAGATAGGTAGCAAAGAATTTTAATTTCAACATAATAATTAAAATCACTGTGGTCTATCGACATGGATATATAATACTCCTCAGGCTACCAAATGGTTAGGTTTAATCACATCACTAACTCCAAAACATTGGAAAAACTTATAATTATGATATTTGGCTATTATATTTTAAGTCCGCATTGTTTTATCCAAAGACCAATGTTAAAAGACTGCACCGTTTTCTTAAAAAGTAATACCAATAAATTCATTAAGACTTAAAGGGTGTTTATAACTTATTTTTTCAATGCCTATACTCAGGAACCTAAGTAAAAGATGGCTGATATAGGTAAGTGTGAATTCTTTTTTCAACCATTGAAAAAATATAATTTTTTTTGTTTATTGATTTATGGGGTTGCAATTGATTATTTATTATTATTACTAGTAAAATCATCTTAAATATAGTATGTTAAATTAAAAAAACCAACCTTAGGCACAGGTAGCGCTGGGCAGTACATCTAGTTATTTTTTATAAAGTTAAGATCAGAAAAATGCAGTAACAATAAAAAATACATTTTTTTTTAGTTTATATTTTATTTTTATAATATTATATACCATAAAGTATACCTTAACTATTCGAGTCTTTTAATATAATATAATATAATATAGACTACAGTTAAATGTTAATGAGAAAACAAACATCTAAATCTTGTGAAGAAATCTTAGGGTTAATTTTTGTTCAACTTAAACGTTAATTAGTTTATTTAACATTGACTTCCTAGAGATTTAATGTATAATACTAATAGACGAAAATATACATTTTGTAGGGATAGGTTTAGATTTATATGAAAAAAAATGAAATTCCCCATAACAAACAAATAATGAGGTATACTGTTATGCCCTTCCTTTAATAGTTTTTTAAATTTTATTGTAAATTAATTGTTACCAAATATTTAACTTGGAATTTAAGATATCAATTTTCACATAATTATTGAGTAATTAATGTTAAATTTATAGTAAACAATATTTGGAAAACTGAATACTTTTTATGATTGAATGCTTTTTTGGTTACTCTGTGAAATTAAAATAATTATGCCATCAACTTTTAGATTACCTACCTTCTGTTTAATGAACAAATTTATCAACATTAATGATTTATTATTATTGGGATCACAACTGAAAAAGTTATTAAAATTACTAAGATTATAAAGATTAAAGAATTATAATATCTTATAATGAAAAAATGTTTATTCTATTGTGATTGTTTGATTTTTAAGGTAGGTACATGTACATTTTGAAGGTAAAAATACATATTAGCATATCCTCAGACTAATTCGTAAAAATTGAAAACTCCAAAAAAAAAAAGATATTTTTTTAATGGGTTTTTCGAATATAATAGGCCATAATAGTTGGCTCAATAGTCAATAGAAGGTAGGTAATTCAAATAACAAACCTCATGACAAACTTTTGCTATTGGCATTTTATACTACAAGGATGATGTAGGTACCTACAATAGGTACTCCACATATTGTAGTCCTACGCCTAAGATTCTGTCATGCTCATAGTAATATTCAGAAAAAAATTGTAGGTACTTTGATTGAAAGTATAAAAGACAGTGTTAGGTAGGTACATAGTGCTGTCTTAGAACAGTAATCACTAATTTGAAATTACCATGTTCTGTTGCCAGTCTTGAAGTTCTACACCAACATTAATTTAAAAAATAAAAATAGGTACCCTCACTCTATAGAAATGTATAATAAGGTATTTTTGTGAATGTAAACACATAATTAAATGTATGTGTATGAAAAATATTATTCATGGAAATTCTATCCTGCACATACTCCATAATGTTTCTAAAATACTAAATAGGCATCCTAATTTTAAATTTGAATACTAGAAAGTATAAAGTAGCAATCACACTGTTATTTTTCAGTAGTAGTAGCAGCATAGAAGTTAGAACTCTGCCAAATAGCACTTATATTTCACATTGATTCTAAAAAAGTAATTATCATTTTAATACATACAGTAGCAGTCACAGCTATTTTTTTTAGTACTTAAGAAGATCACAGTTCACTACCACTATACCAATCAGTAACTATCTATTTGGTATTTACAACTGTATGTCTGTAAAGTCTAATAGTCAATAGACTATAACTTTTAAGTATCATTACTTCAAGCACCTATCTATCTCTATTTTCAGTGCTTTCTATCTTTACTTCATCTTACCAAATTTTTTAAAAACGATTTCAATAACATTAATCAACATGCATTAAAAACATTATCTACCTGTAGTTCTCAATATGGTGATAGCATTTTAATTGTTATTGAGCTTAGTTATTAAAATATCGAAAGTTGGCTCAAGGCTCTGGAATACAGACGTAGTTATAATTTCTCTTCTACAATATAGATAAATATATTAATATGTGTTTTTACTCGGAAAAAGGATCATTAGGCTCATTATATTGGAAATACTAAAATTAATTTTTATATCATTTTTTTTCATGCCCCAATTAACATTAAATTGAATAAATATTTTATTAGTTTAATCGTTATTAATTGTCATGTAGCCATGTAGGTAGGTACTTTAATTTTTCACTATAGCTTATAGTTCTAAACGTTTAGACAGAAGATTTGACACCGTCAAAAAAATCAGTCCGCAAAAGTTTCGTCTCCGTCGATTATTAAGGAAGGACATTTGGTCCCCCGGCATTTTAAATCACAAAATATAAATCGTAACTTTTTTAAATAAAACATATCAATTTGTCTGAGACGTAAAAGGTCAGTTCTTACAATGTATATAAAAAAAAAATTTTAAAATATATTACACACATGATAATTTTTATCAGAGAAATTTAATTCTTAAATTATATCAATAAACTATGGTCAAACAGGTAACATATTATTATTATGATTCCAGCCTCCAGGGGAACAAATGTCCTATCTTAATAATTGACGCGGACGAAACGTTTATTACCAACGACCTACCCTAAAATGTCGTAAATCCTTAATCCGTAATAGACGTAATGACTCTATTGCACAATATTATGCCATCAGTCAATCCCATTTCCGTCATGTTATGTTTAATTAATAATTATAAAATAAATGTTTGACTATGATTCGCAATTCGCATCGACCTTTACTGGCATAAGCAAGTTAACCCACATACAATACATGGGTTGAGCGGGTCAACTACAACAGCGGTGGGTGTGTGATGATTGCAGTTACGTCGTGATAGCTGGGCCCTACGTTATCACACGAAAAACACGCTATCAGTCTTTTAGACGGTTTCTCGAGTGGACTAGTCAGTAGTCTCTAGTTAAGTCCATTTTATTATGTTCGCTGACGACAACGACACCTTTATCGAGATGAAATTCTTTCAGGCGGCCTCCAGGTGGTCGAAAAACCACAAGTTTGTAAGTACGCCGAGCTTGGCATCATACCGCGACGTTTCACACAATGACGTCCCTGGTTCTTTTGCTATGCATTGAGTTCTTCTCTTCACTCGCTGTCATCTTCAACATCAA